CAAATAACACCTCTTACAAGCATTGGAGCTGGAGTAACCAGAAGCTCTGGTCAGTTCACAAGCATACTGCAGTGTTCCAGAAGCACTTGCTGAGTAAGTGCTCCTATTTCAACTCCCGGGAACACAACTCACTAGGCCACATGGGAATTAAGATCCTGAGGGGTGGGTGCTAGCTTCCAACAGCCCCAGAGCCCCTCTCCCCCCACTCCTAGGGGCTGCCTAACAGAGCAGCTCTAAGAGCTCCAGGAGTAGAGGTGCAGGAGAGGCCGGAAGCCAGGACTTAACTCAGGCTGGAGGTTAGAATGACTTGCGCTAAAGAGCCTTAAAGCGCCAGACGACCCTGAAACACCTGCGGATGCTGCTCAAGCTCATGGCTGCGAAAAGCCCTTTGCAGAGGCGCCGGCTTCGGAAACTAGATTGTGCTGGCTATGATTTGGGGTGTCTTTCAGGGACTCGGGGTGGGGGGAGGTCTCCCCAGTAAGCCTGCATCACTTGAAAAATGGTTCTTGAGTCTTCCATAATGAGACTGCGGGTTTGGCTCAGGCGACGCTTACAGCGTCCACTGAAGGGGAGCAAGAACCTGTTGGGAGTGGTTCCACAGGGTTTGGGGAAGAAAGACACTGTTGTCCAAGCACAGCGACTTAGGTCCCCAGGCAGGCGCTGCTTCAGGTTGACTGGATTCAGTCAGTCTAAGAGGGAGGCCTTGGGAGCCTCCTCCCCAGAAGAAAGCACACGCTCTGACCTGCCGCGGGAGGAAGGCAGGTGAGTCTGTAGCCGAATCGCTCCGTTTGGGCTCCTGGGTACCTGGCTAGGAGCCGCGCAGGGCCGGGCTCCAGGCCTGGGGGCGGGGCGGGAAAGGATGCCTCGGATTGGACCACTCCGAGAGAAGGGCGGAGTCAGGCGCGGCCTGGGGACCTGGGGTGCTCGCTGGCGGGTGCCCAGCCGAGACCAAGGGCTAATCCAGAGATCGCGGACGCGCGGAGCTATGCCACCCCGGCCACGGCCCCCGCGTCGGGGGCGTTTCCGTTTTCGCGTTTTCCCCATTTTGGAGGAGTGTCTTCTTGCCCACGGGAGTGTCGTGATCACACCGCGCGCCACGGCTCTGGATTTATGGTGGCGATTTTTCTCTCCCGCAGGGACGCGGGGGACTGAGGGCCCCGCCTCTCCTGGTCACCCGTTTCTGGAGCCACGGGGTCCAGAGGCGACCGCGGCCCCGCGGGGCCCTCCTTGCTCCGTGTCCTGGGGCCCCACGCTGTGGCCCCAGGCCCGTCCAGGCTGTTCATCAGGATTGGTTGTCCCGCTCTCGAAACCCAGTTCTGCGCCCTGCGGGTCTGAGCTCCCACCTCTGCTGCCTGGGAGGGTGACCGGGACTGGTGTGGATGACACGGGGAGGACCGGGAGAGACCCCTGGGGAGGGGCAGGCTTTGACCAGAGGTCAGCAACTGGCCTAGGGTGGCCCCTATGTAATTTTAAACAGAGAGTCCCTGTTGGGGAGATGGGAAATGTCCAAGCAGGGGAGACAATCCCTGCCCGTCCCCCACTCCCATCTCCAGTTAATCCAGAATCCAAAGAACGGAGACAGGGAATCCTAATCCTCCCCTCTCTGAGCCAAATTCATCGGTTAATCGAAAGTCTGCTGAGGGATTCTGGAAGCCGGGGCAGCCCAGGACTCCGCTCCCCAGGAGCCGCGTCCGCCCCGCAGGCGGTGTACAGTGGGGACATCAGGAGTGCGGACTCAGCTGCCCAGGCGACTTTAACATTTGAAGTCATGCCTCTCCTCTCCTGCCACCTTCCCTCCTCCTCCCCTGCCCCCCAGCCTCGCCGCGGGCCCTTCTCTGTCTCCATCCAAGTGCTCCTTTTCACCCACAGAACCTTACTACAAGAATAGAACTCAAGCCTCCAGGAGGCCAGTAGGAAAAGATTTCCGGGGGAGATAAAATTAATGAAAAAATTGGCGCTTCCTCTCTGCACAGCCAGCGCGAGCTCCGCACCGGCCCTCGGGGCTCCGCCCGCGTCCTAACTCGCCTGGAAAAGTGGGACGGCCCTGCAGCGGCCCGCGGGTGCGCGGGACCCTTCAAGAGGCGGATGGTGTGCTTTGTGGCCAATGTCGTCCCCTTAATTGGGAACGGGCTCTCATGATCTGGCCTCAGCTTGTTAACTGTACAATAGTGGGCAGAGTTAATGACTCATTAGTGATTAATTCTTTAACTGTGCCTTAACTGCTCACTGTAAACCCCCTTTCCTAAAACTGGATTAAATCGTCTAGATCCTTGGCCACATCTCTCACAGCCCTGGAAGAGGCTTGGAGGATGCCATGTTCCCTCCAACTTCCGGGTCAGCTTCTTAAAAGCAGGTGCAGCGGCGCCCCTCAGCCTGGAAGTGGGGAGACCTGTGGGGTGGCGGAGTTGTGACATTGCCTGGTCGTGACCTTCAACAGCCCCAATCCCCCCCCACACACACACACCAAAGCTGGATCTCCAAGATCTCCCCTCCTCCCTCATTGTCCCACCAAAGACACCTGAAATGTAACACCCCATTTTCCAAGCAGCTTTCCTCTGCTCTGCACTTACCATGGGTGTGTGTTCACAGTAGATTCTGAATGAATTGTATAGGAGGGTGCCTTCCTGTCAAAAGTCACCTGCAGAAGTTATTTCCAGGGCTAACAATAGCTGGGTTCTAAATATAGTCTCTCCATCTGTACTTTTAAAAAGTTAGCCCTTAGTGGTTTTTTTTCACCTTCTTAATTTTCCTACAATCGTTATCCATTCTGGAAATTTGTAAGATATAGTGGACATGTAATGATAAACAAGAATCTCCACCCTCAAGGAACATGGTCTAAGTAGAGGAAATGACCCATTTCTACATATGTTTTCAAATGCCTACTGGTTTTCTCCACTTGGTGTTCCACAGGCCACCCAAAATAGATATGCTCAAAACAAAACTTACTCATCTTTACTCTGTGGCTTCCTATAAACCTCCTTAAAACTCCTCCCTCTTTCTTCATTCAGAGCCACCCAATGGATATGAGAATCATTCTTGATGCCGACACAAGTTATTTTCCACTTCCTTTCTACCTCCTACCTCTCTCCCCGCCATATAGCTTCCAAATCTTAGCTGCCCAGAATGAAGACACCTCCCAACCTCCCTTTCAATTAGATATGATTAAATATCTACTAATGTCGTGGAAGGGAAAACACTTCTAGGAAGTAAGTTCTAACAAGTCACCAGCTTGCTCTGCTCTTGTCCCTTCCCTGCTGCCCACTGCCTACGAGGTGGGTGTGATGCTGGTGCTGGAGTACCCGCCTGGGACCATGTCATGAAGCCATGTGTTGCGAATGTTGAATAACAGGATAGAAGGGACCGTATGTGGTAAGTCCCTGACACAGGAGCACTATACCAGCTCCGGATTGCTACCTGGGTTCTCTGTTTTAAGTCTGTTTGTTGACTGCCAGCCAAACCTAGCCCTGATTCAGTCATTCCTTTAAACACCTATATGCAGTTCATTACTTAGCCACATTGCTTTTACTTCAGAACACCTAAGTTCACCTATCCTTGATTTTCTCTGCCAGTTCTCTAGTTCAGGGCTTTATTATCCCTCCCCCATGTTGCCCGCTTCCCACGGCATACAGACTTTCTCATATGGCACTTAACACATATGCTCCTGCTTCATGGTTATTTCTTCATTGATTCATTTACGACCATATATTGAGTTCTTTCTCTCTCTCTCTCTCTCTCTCTCTCTCTCTCTCTCTCGGGAGCTGTGAAGATATGGCCTCCATATGGATCTGCTTGTCACTCAGTCCTCAATCTCTCCTTCACACTATAGCCAGAATTAGGTATCTCAAACAGTTCCTCTGCTTAAAATAATTCCTTATGGCCCATGGGACCAAAGCCAGGCTCCTGGTGAGTATGGCGTCTGAGGCTCTTTTGAACCAGACCCGACCCAGCTTTCCAGGCTTGTCTCTGGCATTCTTGCTCTTTCCTTACCTTCCTCTTTCCCTCTTCCTTTCCTTGCCCTCTGTTCAAGTGAGACCAGCATACTCTGCCTCTCACTGGTCCACCATATGCTTTTTCACTTTGTGGCTTTGCGCGTAAATATTCCTTCTGCCTAGAAGGACTTCCCACCATCCTGCTCCTGGCAAACTCCTCCAGGACCTGGCCCAGGTGCCACTGCCCCTCTGCACAGCTGGCCTGCATTCCTGCAGGCGGTCAGTTCCTTGCCTCCCCCCACCCCTGTACCAACCCCCCCAAGAGCACTTCGTTGTTGTCCACTCAAGGGCTATTCCAGCACATATCCCATAGTGTTGTCTGTGGCCCCCAGTGAAACTGTAGGATCCTTACAGGCAGCTGTCTGACCCTTCTGGGCATATTCAGTGCCTGACCCCATGGAAGCACCTAGTAACTGATGAGCAATAACTAACACAAAGGGCAAGTGATTCCCAGAGAAAGCACCACATTCTGTAACAGCTTATAACAAAGAAACCCGCCTTAGCCTATGAAGTCATGAAGTCACCAAAGTCACCCTGAGGAAGTGACACTCATGAGCCCTGAAGGGAAAATGGAAGAAAACAAGGAAGAGGTGAGGCGAAGGGGAGTTCACCACACCTGCAAAGGAAGAGAGAGCCGGGCTTGTCTCAGGCTCTCAAACTAGGCTGGACTGGCAGGAGCCGAAGGACAACTTAAAGAAATAAGTCTGTATGTGGCTACAAACAATTCGGGAGCCAGGCTCAGCATCCAACCAAGACACATAAGGAGAATTCTCCAGCACAGGAAGGGTGTTCTGGTGCTGGACAGCCCAAAATTAACTGATGTCGCTACAGGTGGTGACATGATCATTTCAAATAGATTATCCTGCCCGTCATATGGAGAAGAGCTTGGAAGGAGGTAAGAGAGGGTTCTAGAAGACCAAATGGAAGGCTATTGCTGTACCTGAGGGAAAATGGAAGCTTGGCCTTGTGTAGTGACAAGGTGGCCAGGTTTGAGGTTGAATGAGGAGATTTTGGGGGAGCACCGTTCCTGGGAGTACTGCAATGCCAGGTCAATGCATAGAGTGGACGGAGCAAACTCCTTTTCCACCTCCCCACTCCAAAAATCCATTTAATGTATTGTCTTCGGATCCAGGACATATCAGATATTAAACTGATCGGAACAGATACTACACTTGATCTTAGCCAAAAGACTGAGAAACAATTTTTTTTTAAAGTTCAGTTTTGATCAAGTGAGTTTGAGGGAAGATATTGAGTAGACAATTCCAAGTACTGATTTGGAGCTCAGGGGAAGGATCTGAGCTCTGAGATCAGTATACAGAAGATAGTATAGACCATTGGCATACCACAGAGGAGGTTGCCTCGGGGGAGGGAGCGGAGAGAGAAGAGGATGCTAATGTCGGAGCCTTGAGAAACGCCAGCATTTTGTGAACTTGCCCTGAGCTTTTCCACCCCTATGGCTTTACCCAAACTCTGGAATATCTTTCCCCACAGAAAATGCTTAAAGATGAAGGAGAATGCAACATACCCAAACTTCTGGGATACAGCTGAAGCAGTGCTTAGAAGGATTTTTAGCAGCAAATGCCTACATTAAAAAAGAAGAAAGATCTGAAATCTACAACCTCACCTTCCATCTTAAGACACTAGGAAAAGAAGATTAGACTAAACCTAGAGTGAGCAGAAGGAAGAAAATAGTTGAAATCAGAGTGGAAAGGGCACCTGGGTGGCTCAGTCAGTTAAGCGTCCGATTCTTGATTTCGGCTCAGGTCATGATCTCAGGGTAATGAGATCGAGCCCTGCATCTGCTCCGTGCTGAGCATGGAGCCTGCTTCAGATTCGCTCTCTCCCTCTGCCTCTGCCCAACCCCCACACCTCTAAAATAAATAAATAAATCTTTTTTTTTTTTAAGAAATCAGGGGTGCCTGGGTGATTCAGTGGTTAAGTGTCTGCTTTTGGCTCAGGTCATGGTCCCAGGGTCCTGGGCCCCTCATCAGGTTCCCTGCTCAGTGGGAAGCCTGCTTCTCCGTCTCCCACTCCCCCTGCTTGTGTTCCCTCTCTTGCTGTGTCTCTCTCTGTCAAATAAATAAATAAAATCTTTAAAATAAAATAAAACAAAGAAATCATAGTGGAAATCAATGAAATGGAGAAAAGAAAAACAATAGAGAAAATCATATGAAAAATATTTGATATAAGCAGTCATCAGAGAAGTGAAAGACAAAACCCCAGTGAGACACCACTGCATACGTATTAGGATGGCTAGAATCAAAAAGTCAGTGGGAAGAAGTGTTGGTGAGCATGTGGAGAAATGAGAACCCTCGTACAATGATGGTGGAAATGTAAAATAGTGCAGCCACTTTGGAGAGCAATCAGGCGGTCCTTCCAATGATTAAATACAGTTTCTTATGACCCACCAATTCCGGGCAAGAGAAATGAAAACGGATGTCCACACAGAAACTTGTACGTGAATGTTTGTAACAGCATTCTTCATAATGGCCAGAGGATGGAAACAACCCAAATGTCCCTCAACGGATGAACTGACAAAGTGTGGCATATACATATGATGGGATTATTCAGCCAGGAAAAGGTATGAAGTATGTATACGGGCTACCGCATGGGTGGACTTTGAAGACATTATGTTAAGTGAAAGAAGCCAGTCACAATAGACCACATACCATACACACGGACATTGCTATGAAAGTCCAGAATAGGGAAATCTATAGAGACAGAAAATTGATTCACGGCTGCTTAGTGCTGGGGGACAGGGAGATGGGGACATAGAGGGTGATTGATAAAGGATATGGGATTTCTTCTTGAGGTGAGGAAAATGTTCTAAGATGGGCTGTGATTATGGATGATTGCATGTATCTTTGAATATACTAAACACTATTGAACGGCACACCTTAAGTGGGTGAATCGTATATCCCAAAAGTTGTTTTAAAAAAACACAAAATAGTCTTTCCACCAAGCTCTTGCTCCTTCCATCCATTTCAGGTACTTGTGCTGGAATAATTTTCCTAAATACCATTTTCATTATGCCGCTCTCTTGCCAGGTGAGCCTTTGCAGGGTCAATAAAGATGCCGCAGTTCAGCTAACACGTTCAGCGCCTACTGTCCTAGGCGCCGTGATACATCCACCTGCTTCCAGCTCCAGATCTCAACTCTTCTTTCTGACCTTCAAGGCTCACCCTGCATGCCTCGCTCACCCATTTCCTTTCCCATTGACCTTCTTGGTGATAGAGACTCTCCACTTTAAACAAGCGACCTGGACAGCATTTTGCTCCCCTCCAATTCCTTCTCCATGTTGTTACTCAGGGTGGGCAATACCCTTTCATCCAAAATGACAGACCGGCCTAAAAGGCCAGTGCTCCCGGGAAAGAGAGCAATTGCTTAAATTCACTGTGTGATGTTGAAGCTTGGTGGGTGAAAACTTTCTCTGCCAGTGACAGTTCAGAGAGCTGGGCCTATGGAAAGAGGGGGGCCTGAAGCCCCAGGGAAGCTGGATTCGCATGCCATTTAAATAGGGCCAGCCCTGCGTCCATGTAGGATTGTTCCTGCTTTTTTTCACCTGGGTACGTACTAACCACCCTGCGTCTGTCGCCTTTTCTCCTCTCCTTGCGTCTAACCCAACTCAAAGCTCATCTCCTCCAGGGATCTCTCTTTGGTTTCTCTGGCCGCAGTCTCCTTACTTCCCCAGGATCAGTCTGTCTTGTATCTATGAATTCCCCTCCTCTGTCCTCCCCTACCTCTTTTTATTATTTATTTATTTATTTATATTTTTAAAATTCTTTATTTAAATTCAGTTTAGTTGACATATACTGTATCATTAGTTTCAGGAGTAGGACTTAGTGATTCATCAGTTGCATATAACACCCAGTGCTCATTACATCACGTGCCCTCCTTAATGTCCATCCCTCCATCCCCCCATCCCCGCACCCACTTCCCTTCCAGCAACCCTCAGTTTGTTTCCTAGAGTTCAGCATCTCTTACGCTTTGCCATCCTCTCTGTTTTCTTATTTCATTTTTCCTTCCCTTTCCCTACGTTCATCTGTTCTGTTTCTTAAATTCCATATTTGAGTGAAATCATATGGTATTTGTCTTTCTCTGACTGACTTATTTTGCTTAGCACCATTTTTTTAAAAGATTTCATTTATTTATTTATTTGAGAGAGAGAGAGAGCACGAGCAGGGGGAGGGGCAGAGGGAGAAGCAGACCCCCCGCTGAGCAGGGAGCCAGACCAGACCCCAGACTCCAGGACTCGGCACCATGACTGGAGCCGAAGGCAGACGCCCAACCGACTGAGCCACCCCCGTGCCCCTTTGCTTAACATAATATGCTCTAGCTCTATCCACGTCATTGTAAATGGCAAGATTTCATTATTTTTGACGGCTGAGTAATATTCGTGTGTGTGTGTGTGTGTGTGTGTGTGTGTATACACACATCTTTATCATTCATCTGTCAATAGACATCTGGGCTCTTTCCATATTTTGGCTATTGTGGACATTGCTGCTATCAACATTAGGGTGCAAACAAAAGTAAAAATGAACTATTGGGACTTCATGGAGATAAAAAAAAAAAAACCACCTTTTGCACAGCAAAGGAAACAGTCAACAAAACTAAAAGGCAACTTACCGAATGGGAGAAGATATTTGCAAATGACTTATCAGATAAAGGGCTAGTATCCTCCCCCACCTTTTTTAAAGCAAATAAGCCCATTTGACAAAAATCTGCTTGCGGCTCAAGGTTTAGCCTTCGAGGCTCTGTACTCAAACTCACAGGACTGTGTGAATATTCAAACAGCCCTCCTCTGTCTTTTCTATATTTTGTTTTGAGCTGAGGAGCACTCCTTTCAGATTACCATTATAGAGAGATTTCTTTTCAGGAGGTCACAGGAACCCCAGTTCTGCCACGGATTTGATGCGTGGCTTCCGGCAGAGTAGTCTCAGTCTGACTGGAGTTCCTGGGCTGTGAAACCAAAGGGCTAGACCTCAGGGCCTCTACTAGTCTCCCAAGCAGCAAAATTCTGTCCATCGAAAACACGCACTTCAGTAATTTGGCTGAGGGTGCCATCTGATGGCCCTTTTGAGAACTTCACCCGCTGATTGCGCACTAGAAGCTTTCCTACTGGAATGCTGACTTCCCAGCAGGGCCTGCAATGAGAAGGGCCTTCCCTCAGCCAGGTAATGGCTTTACGGTCTGACTCCTCCCAGGTCCATGGGCTTCATGCTTCCCCTTGGGCGGAAAGACCCTCCTTCTCCACTCAGATTCCCACCCAGGCTAGGTCAACCCAGCCACGGGGATTCTTACATCATTAAAGCCACCCTAAGAGAAACCAGGACGCCAAGAAAGCTATGATTTCGCGTTCTCATGCCCCCCCTCCCCCAACACACTTCACATTAGGAACGAATTGGTTCTAAGGTAATTCGTTCAAAGCAGGAGTGACTTCTTAAAACTTTCATGAGGAAATATGTGCATTTTTAATACAATGAGCCCTGAAGTAGGGCAATTCTTTTTTTTTTTTTTTTTAAGATTTTGTTTATTTATTCGAGACAGAGGAGAGCACGAGCAGGGGGAGCGGCAGGCAGAGGGAGAGGGAGAAGCAGGCTCCCCGCCGAGAAGGGAGCCCGATGCAGGACTTGATCCCAGGACCCTGGGATCATGACCTGGGCCGAAGGCAGACGCTTAGCTGACTGAGCCACCCAGGTACCCAATTCAGTACCTTTTAGATATTCAGGAAAGGGTTTTGTGTCCAGATGGAGTTTCCTTCAAGAATAGAGGCTATAGGGCACCTGGGTGGCTCAGTTGGTTAAGCGACTGCCTTCGGCTCAGGTCGTGATCCTGGAGTCCCGGGATCGAGTCCCGCATCGGGCTCCCTGCTTGGCAGGGAGTCTGCTTCTCCCTCTGACCCTCCCCCCTCTCATGCTCTATCTCATTCTCTCTCTCAAATAAATAAATAAAAT